GCAGAGATATTAGCAGCAGAACCTGAAACTGAATTAGAGAACATTTATTATGAATAGCTCACATGAATATCTTTAATATGCAAATAATAATAATAATATCAAATAGTGGTAGGGCCCATCATAAGATACCAAGCACAACATCAATATCCAGTATTTGGACAGAGATATTAACTTGTAAGCGGTACTCTTGGAGTAGTGATCAAACATTGACGATAAAACAACGTGTCAATCAATAAACCTTTCTTTGGACCGATTTATTGATCACACATTAAACCAAATAATCGTCACACGTTTATCACCACAGGTGCATGTGTATTCGGCTAAATATTGACCTTTCTTTGGGCCGACCAATATTCCTATGAATAACACGTGCACAAACACTTTTTAACATTCTAAGTTAGTCAATTTTCACAAGAGAGGTTGCTTTGGCAACATGTTGCTTCAATTAACTAACTTTCGAATATTATATCTCTTTAAAAGAGTCTTTAATACCAAAATTTGAGAAAGAGAATCACCAATTTTGCATATTTTGATTAGTTTTAAACTTTAGGGGCCTTAGGATTAATAATTCAAAACTTTAAGGGGGCAAAATTAATTAATTCCAAACTTTAGGGGTTGAAATTGACCAATTCAAAACTTTAGGGATCAAATTTTAAAAATTTGAAACTTTAGGGGTCAATTTGAATTAATTATGAACTTAGGGGGCCAATTTGAATTAATAATTAAATTTTGAGGGCTTTAATTATAAATTCAGAACTTTAATGGCCCGAATTAATTAATTTTAAAACTTTAGGGACTGAATTATTAAATTCGAAACTTAAAGGCCCAAATCTCAATATAACTTAAAGGTTAGGGACTGAAAACTTAATTTTATAACCCTAACCCTAATTGCAACTAAGGACCTCAATTCTTCTAATTTACAGGAGAGGCCCCCGCCTCCAAAAATCAAAAACTGAAAAAACCTAAAAAAAAAAAAAAATTTCTCTTTCTTTCCTTCTGGCGGCGACGCACTCTGGCGCCGCTCGGACTAACGTCGCTGGCATGAGCCGGCTCCTGTAGCACACCCAGCGCTACTGTGAGTGCAGCAGCGCCTACTGCGCGCTTCTGCCTGCGCAGCGCACAGCGCTCCGACTGCCGCTGTCCGACTAAATTTTTTTTTTTAATCTGAATCTCAAAAATTTCGAATTCCAAATCTGAATTTTCTAAACTAATTAATCCGAACGAAAATAACAAGAATTATACCGCAAAAATTTTCAAATTTAACAAAATATATAACCAAAAATTGTTAAATCTGAAAATTTCAAAATATATTGCAAGAACCAAACTAAAACCTTTGATTCTCAATGATTCAACATGAAGAGGCTCTGATACCACTTGTTAGATTATTTAATACTTTAAATAATTACTGGATCTTTCATGTTAAATCATCGAGAAATATAAGAATTAAAGCGGAAGCATACCTGAATCT